AATCCCGGTATAATTAGCAACTATCGTGACGCCAAATATCTGTTAAACAACTTAACAGTCTTGTGGTTGAGATGCTATTAATTTTGACCAATTACATGAGATGCCTGAAGACATATTTAACATGCAAGATTGCTGAGAATTGTTAAGTTTAGCCTGACCTCAGACATTTAAAGCTCATTATGTAGCTGTCACCTGAGATAGACATGTTTTCAATCAGATAATAGACAGTGTGTCAGAATAGAGGCTCACCCTCATTATAGCTTTGGCCAATCAAAGCTTTTTGGAAGGTGTTGGGATTAGCGTGACTTGTACAAAAAAGCTCTTGAGCCAAATCCTTGATTTTTCCTCTAATCCATCACCAGTCCTTTTCTTGCCATTCCTCCCTCCACTTATTCCTCTGTTTAACCCACAATTCACTATTAACACCGCAGCACTGAACAAAGGTGTAACGAAACACCGACTCCACACGATGTTTTGTTATCATGCTTTAATTACATACACAACTGAACGCATCAGAAAGCCATAATATTACTGACGTGAATATTTATCAAGCCGTTTTACTACTGATTTTCTAGTTCAAATGGGCTTTTGCTTACATACCATATGTTTCTTTGTCCAGATGTTGATTTTTTTTTAGCTTCTACCCATGTCCTCTCAGGCATATTACAAAAGTTTTGCTTTTAAGAAGCGATAACCGAGACGACAAAGGTCACAATCATTGCCTTAAAGTTTACTGAACAGGAAACTGAACAACAACGCGACTAATTACTTAACGTTGTTCACAGGAGCTTTAGAAAAACAAAAACTGCATCTCGTTAGAGTTACGGTGTGAGATTTAATTGGACAATTTGCCAAAAAACTGAGCATCGCTGGAAATCCCTCCGAGTAACGGGCCTAGTTGGTGGTTGTTCATGACCAGCGATAAAAATAAAGGTGGCGGAGCAGCTAATTCGAGCTAGATAGCGTGGGTTCCTTCTGTTAATAGTATTAAACTTCATGCGGGGTCTCTGCTTAAAACGCTTCAATGCACGCACAAACCCGGCTATCAATCAGCTTTTAAGATTGAGCATTACCGTAATGCGTTACAAACCTCCTGTTGGCTTGAATCCTGTAGGAGTATTACTTCCGAAATTAGCTATTCAATGAAACTTTTAAAATATCTCAGTCTTTCCTTCGAATAAATTGAGTCTCCCGTTAATTTGGTCGTAAATTAGTTAGGAAGTTTCGAATCCCTCTATTCAACACTTATTATACAGCAAAATTTAAAAACAATCATAACCATTTTATTGACACACTTTCACAGATGGATTTACAAAGTTTCATTACATTAGTTAATTATACAATTACAAAATTCTATTCTTGTCAAAAAACCGTCTATTCGCTTTGCTGCTTTTTTTTTTTTTTTTAGGAAAGGGTTTCCATCTCAGCATGGCGGAAATATTCTAGGAAATAACTATGGCGACTCAACAAGTGCCAACGACTGAAACAAGTGATCACGCATAGAGTTGTTCTCTGGCAAAGTCCAGTGAGGATGATAAACAACTGCGGCGACAATTGACGAGAAACCTCTTGGAAGACGTGATGGTGTTAGTTGTACCCACAAAACTTCGTGGTCGGCGCAACATGAGATATCATTAAGTTGCTTGTACTTAAAGCATCCGTCCTTAAT